TAAGCTCCATTTTAATTCATGCTCAATCTCTTCATTCTTAAACTATATATTGGCTTACACTCCCAAATTCTTCCATTCGTCATCCTTGCGACCTTTGTTCTCACTATTTCATCCTTTTCCATTTCACTATCAATCTCATTTTTTGAAGCTACTACAGTAGACTCAGAATAGAACCTTGGTGAAGCTAAATCAACCACCATGAATGGCTAACTTCTTCGAGTTCATAGAGTGATATACAAGACCTGAGTTTTAATTTGGTTCAACAAAGGGGGTTTCTTGTTTTTCTCTCTCCTAGATTTGTTTTAGGATTTCTCTAGCTTACATTTAAGCCCTTCATTGATTTGTAATCTTGAAATTGAACTAGCCTTTTGTTGGAATTTGAGAGAATTGCAATCAGTCTTAAGAAAGGGATTTAATCAACTTAAAGTCTATTAACAACTGAGAAGCATGCAATGATAAGTTTCAGTATAGGAAATTACAACTAATTTATGCTGCTTACTAAGTTATGTTGCTTATTGACAAGTTTCACTTGATTTTGGTCTCATACTTGTGAATATTTGATATTTTGAGTTTCCGCTTTTATGCTTTGTTACTTTGAATTTCTCTGTTGCATGTCCAGAGATAAAGAACCCTCACTCTATGATCTTGAGCTTGAGATAACTTTGAGACAATTAAAGAAGAAAAAGAAAAAGGGTCAAAAGAGTGCAAGTGAATTTTCTTGAGAACACCCTACTCCTAGTATGTCCAATTGAATTCTAAATATGGCTGATTGTATCGATAATGGGGATAATAATGGTTATGGGGAAAATCATGTGCCTAGGAATAATGGTGAAGACTAGAAGAGTCTTAGAGAAATAAATAACCCTATTGTGAATTTTGATCCTCATGATTTTTACAATTTTGATGATAATTTTGAAATCAAAAGTAACTTGATTAATGCTTTGTCTAAATTTTTTGGCCTCTTAGGAGATAATCCCTATGGACACATTGAAACTATGATGATGGTATGCTCCACTATAAAGCCACAAGGTGCAAATGTAGAGGAACTCTTGAGGAGAACCTTTCACTTTACCATGGAAGGAAAAGCCAAGGAATAGCTGAGAACTTTGCCCCAACACTCTACCACACTTACCCTAGAAGCAACTCAAGACCACTTTTTTTGAGAACTTCTTTACTGTGTCTTGGTCTTTCAAGTTTAAGAAAGCTATCTTTGAAGCACAATAAGATGAAGGAGAGTCATTCTATGAATATTGGACTAGATTCTTAACCATCATGTCTCGGTATCCAAATCATCCATTGTATAAGTCACAATTGGTTTAGTATTTCTATAAGGGTCTCTTACCATACTATCAGAGGATTATTAATTTTACCGCTAATAGTTCAATTCTTGATCTTACTCCACAAGGTGTTTGAGACCTATTTGAAAAGACCGCCATAAATAACCAACAATATGGCACTAGAAATAGATAGCGTGTTAGAGAAGTAGCTTCATCCTCTTCTAATGATGAGCTTAAGTAGTTTATGGAGAAGATTGATAGGAGACTGGAGAAACTAGAGAATGCAAGGGGCCCTAGACTATGTAATGGTAACCTCCCAAGCATTAGTAGCTCCTAGTTGTGATTATTGTGGTTCTCCTATACACAAAAGCGATGCATGTCCTTTAAGATATGAAGAAGTTTTTGTTATGCTTTAAGAGCGCCCTACAAACCAAAAGTGGATTCCTTGTTCCAACATGTACAACAAAAGGTGGAGACAGAACCCTAACTTATGTTGGAGGGATAATAATAATAGAAGGCTAAAACAATTTCAAAAGGGAACTAGTAGACTTGGTGCTTCTTCAAGTCATTTTCAAGAACCTTCAAGAGTTGTCATTCGATTCTAGAATAATTCACTTTCTCAACTAAAGAGTGATGAGACCAACCAATTGTTCAAGAGTATGGTTGCCCAACTTACTAATATGGATAATTCCATTGCCACAATTCTAAAAAAGATGCAAGGTGATAATGCAACCATTTGTAAGAAGTTGGAAGAGTTAGAGTTAAAAAAAAACACTACGACATCTCATCTAACTCAAGTAGCCAATACTATGAGTGATCTGCAAGCTAGAGTGGAGGCATACCCTCTAATATAGTTATCAATCCCAAGGCCATTAATACCGTCACTTTAAGAAGGGGAAAGAAAGTACGCTTCATTGAAGAGGATGAAGAGGATGTGGATGAAGAAATAGAAGCTAAGCCTGCTCCTCATTCTACTACACCAAGCAAGAAATCCAAGCTCTAAAGAAAGAGCACTACTAGCTAATACTAAAGAGCCTACTGAAAGATAAGAAGAAGAAACGAACCATACTGAAGTGGTTCTAAACAACAAGTGCACAATGTTAGAGTAAAGTGAATCAAGCCAACAAGGAACTATCATACACAAAGGTCAAAAGGTAAATGTCAGTGATATTCCTTTCCCTCAATCTTTTCTTAGTTCACAAAAAAAAAAAAATACATAATGAACAACATGATAATGAATAGACAGAGATGTTTAGTAAATCAGAGGTTAACATTTTTTTGCTTCAATTGAATTTATAATGGAATTTTGATTATGGATTTAATTATAAATGTAGTTTGAATTGCAAATTTGGGTTTTTTTTCCTTTTAATTGTTTAATTGAGTTGGTAAATTATTTAATTATTAGATTGGATAATTTTAAGCATAATTTTCAAAATTAATTTGAATTATTTGTTATTGGTTTTAATCCGTTTAATTAACCAATCTTATACCATTATGAGTTTTCTAATGGTTTAAAGGTTTCTTTTATTTCAAGTAGGTAATTAGACTTATTAATTCCACTCTCTTATTACTTCCCTTTGGTCAATTAATTGATTTGGGTCATGAAAGTTAACTCCATATGAATCTTAAGTTGTTCTCTCTACCGTACCTGAAGAGAAACCTCTCACTTTTACTTGTTAATTTTCTTTGCTCTTTGGTTTATTTTTTTTTACTTTGTTAATTTTCCTTCTAAAAAAATTCTCCCAGAAATTACATTTACATTCATTTAGTTTAATTTAATTTTCATATAGATTTTAGGACATTTGCATTTTGCATTTAGTATTAGAATTTTGCATTTTAGTTTAGGTCTATTTTATTGCATTTTTTATCACCTAAATTTTTATTTTAAAAGAAACACATACTTGTTTTTTGAAAGTAATGACCAAAATTGATCATAAACTATAAATTAATTGGAACCTAGTTTAATTGAGTGTTTTAACAACGGAGTCATCATCAATATATCGTTATTTTTTCAAATTTATTTGGAGATCACGAGCAATAACTCATTAATACATTGAATTTTATTAATAATCTTATAAGTATAGATATTTCATTTTATTTTAAACTCCAAATCTATAGAAAATAGTCCTTAAAAATAATATGATTAATTTGACTTTAAAATCCCAATGTTGCGGGATAATCGTTAAGGATATTTGACCAATTATTTTTTTAATCTTTTTTCCCTTTTTTTTGCGTTTTTTTTTAAAATTAAAAAAATCTAAGTTATTTATATTCAAATTAAAGATATCTAAGCAAATAAAAAAAAACACCCGACTAATGATTTTTTTTATTCGAATTAAACACATTTAAGTTGTTTTATATTTGTTTTTATGTTGATTTATGAGAAAAATGATTACATTATAATCTAATAATTAATAATTTCTTATTTTTGAAATATATATCACCTTGCATGAATAAATATTTTTATAGAACCAATGTATCAATGTCATAGGTTATTAATATTTACATCATGAAAAATATTAGTGGAATTTTATGCCAATATTCATTATGCATTGAATTTTATTTAATATTAAAAAAAAATTTTCCATCTCGTGGGGCAAGAAATTTTTTTTTAATGTCAAAGATAATTTGAAAATTTTAAAATAGAATAAATATATTTGATGAAACTATATTTTCTCTCTGTTTTTTTTTGTAGGCACAGGTACTCTCCTGTTGAAGAAAATTTTATTCATAGAATTGTTAAGTATTAAATATGAATACTTTTTGGGTGAGGATTTGAACCCCTTCTCCCTCTCTTTTTGATTTCTCCAATTCGGGGAAAAAAAAATTTAGAGGGGAAGGAGAGATGATCCCCTCCTCCTCCTCTCCAATTATTCAATCAAGCAAGAGACTCCCATCCCAGTTAGAGCTGATAATATGGATTGGATCCGTGAGTCAAACTTGACAACCTGTCAAAAATGGCAGGTTAGCATTGGCCAAAAGCCAACCCGCCAATAAAAGAGCCTTTTTAATCTACACCGCTAGGCTCGCAATCAATCACAAGCTAGCCCTCCAAACCCATGGGCTAACATGCATTTATTTATTTTAATTTATTATAATTATATTATTATATATCATATCCTATCTAAAAAATAAAAAAATACCTATATAATTTATTTGGTACTTTGAATCAAATATTTCAATCAAAAACAAAAATTTTATTATTGTTTTTGGATATTGTATAAGAAAAAATATTAAAAAATAAGAAAACTTTCAAAAAAAAAAAAAAATAAGTGTTGGAGGGCCAACCCGCCTTGGTAGGTTAGAGTTGGTTAAAAGTCAATCCGCCTTCAAACGAGTTTTTTCAGCCCGACCCATATGGGTTTAACCTACTATGTCTAGCGGGTTGGCCTATATTACCGCCCTTTCCCAGCTCTCTCATGTTTTTTATGCACATCTCAGCTCTTTTGTTGTTTACCAACCAAAGAAAGTTTGTAGGCCCACACATAAATTAATTTCACGAGGATTTATGTTTTGGGCTTAGGCCCACGATCCGTGAAGAAGTTGAAGACCTCTTGGTTGTTGCACTATGAGCTATGGGCCGAAAAAAAAAAATGAATAGCGTGGCAAGATACGAAGCGTGAGATCCATCGAACTGTGAAACTAAAGAATTTGAGCCTCCTGCCGGAATCATGCTGAAAACGACGTCGGTTTGCCCACCTGCTCTTGCCTATTGAATAGGGGGTCTGCATTGATCAACAACCTCAACAGGGAACCAAGTCCGACATCATCCCCCGTCCTCCCCCTTCCCTCTCAATCTTTCTTCGAACTTCTTCATCGGAGTTACAAGCCGCAGCCATGGCTCTACAGTCTGGAGTAGGGTTTTCGAAGATTCTTATCATAGCTGGAGCTGGTACTAATACACACAGCCATTATCTCTCTGTATCTCTATCTTTCTCGCTTAGTTGCTGATGAAGCTCGAAACAGCGTTATTGATCTGAATTTCTGTGTGTTTAGGATACACTGGCACGGTTCTTTTTAAGAATGGGAAATTGTCGGAGCTGATTGGCGAGCTTCAGGTAGGAATCGCTGCTACTTTCTGTTGCTTAATCGAGTTCGACAGCTTTCACGATGCTAAAGATGCGGTTTTACTTTCTAGTTTTTCTCTTATAATCCCCATTCGTAAAAATGTAAATAGGCAACTCTCCATAGTTATGTAGTTGGTATGACAGAGTTGGAATTTTGGAGAGACCTAATTTTGTGGAGGCGGGGATCATTGGTTCTCTAATTATCGTTTTTCTTCCTTTTACTTTATTCTAAGTAACGATCGTTGTGAAAATTAAGTATTGGTGAGTTCCTGTATAATCGAAGCTGATTCAATGTTCTACATATGGATGTAAGATTGAAAGCGGTCGGTGTGTGTTTTATCCTGCAGTCCTGCTTGATGTTTATGAATTTAACTTCTTCATGGTGCTCTTCGGTATTTGAGGATTGATAAGTTCAATTCCAATTTTCGGGGTATCTAGATTGTCCCTGTCCTAATGGATTGTTTTTTTTTTTGGTAGTCGCTGGTAAAAGGATTGGAAAAATCTGGGGAACAATCTGACGGTGACAGTGAATATGCTGATGCCATTGCTTCTCAGGTAGTTGGAAACACAATGTTATCTCTGAGCCAATTGAATATGCCAACTGTTCTTTCCAAAATGCACACACAATAGTATGAATTATCTTCTTATGATAATCTAGCTGACTTTGTTCTAGGTACGCCGTCTGGCAAATGAGGTTCGACAATTAGGTTCGAATAAGCCAATCACTGTACTGAATGGGAGTCCTGGACAAATGGGTACAATTTCCTATTTATTCTGGCCACTGTAGTGTACCCTCTGGTTTATTTTCAGTTCTGCATTTTCCTTTTAGAGATCAATTATTTCTATCTTCAAGCTCGGCAGCATCTATTTGTGCACGGGGCTAATTCCAGTTATTTTTTTCTATAGAAATCGTTTTTGGTCAATTGACTTTTGACTTCTTTCATTGCGTTTATCCCCTTTTCAGGCAACTTATCATCGCTTGTGGTTCCCGCAGCTACCTTGGGTGCTCTAGGGTATGGTTACATGTGGTGGAAGGTGAGGAATAACTAGACCAATTGCGGTATATCTATTTTATTCTGAATTAGAATTATTCTGAATGATATATCTATTTTTTCTGAGCGGTTTGTGATTTGTTTTATTGATCTTTTGCATTTTTTCCACCCCATATTAGGGTATTTCTTTCTCAGATCTTATGTATGTGACAAAACGTAGCATGGAAAAGGCTGTCTCCGATCTGACAAAAAAGCTGCAGCATGCCTCAGATGTCATTGCTGTAAGTGTCCATTTATTTCATTGGGTTTAATTCTTTAATGTTTTTGTTAGATAGGAACATTCAAACATGCAGTGGTATGTCTGAACTGTGACTGCATGTCCTACCTCTGCAGATGAAGGGGGATAAAGGCCGTTGATATGAATGCAACTGTCGTAAAATTTAATGTCATCGATCTGGTGGTTGAAATGCATTGTATCATTGTTTCAGTTTTACTACTGAAATGCTAAATCCGAGAATATGCTTTTTTATATGTCTATTCAAATTCCATTTCATTTACGTTGACCTGGTGATTGAAATACATTTTATCATTGTTTCAGCTGTACTGAAATGCTGCTGACAATTAATCCGAGAACATTTTTTTTTTTTTAATGTAACTATTCATGAAATATGAGGTTTAAGAGTTTGAGACAGATTGGACTAACATTCATAAGGTGCTGGATTCAGCATGTGTTGCTATTACACATGGATGATCTGAAAATGTTTATCCTGCCGCTATACACGTGAACTAGTGGAGATACAAAGCAGCTTTGTCTTCCCATACGAGCATTTATTTATAATTATGATCGGTTTATCTCTTAACTTCCTTTCAATTATTTCGCATGCAGGATGCCAAGAAGCATTTGACACAAAGGATTCAAAATTTGGATGATAAAATGCTGAAGCAGAATGAGTTGGCACGTTCAATTAAGGATAATGTATGCCATTTGAGACAATTTCACACATATAGATGTTCTTCATGATTGTAAATATGCTTAGATAGATAGATATAGTCAAAAGACATTGTCCATGTTCTTAGCTGATAGTCCCCCCTGCAATTTAGGAGGATTAAACACTAAAAGAAGTTTAGTTGTACAAATACGTGTCTTGCTTCTAATAAGTTATATTTCAGTGTTGAATAATTTTAAGTGAAATGATTTTATGGTAATAAACTCAGTTATTTCAAGTTTTCTTCATAGATTAGCTTATGAGAAAGAATATGAAGCTCATTATTGATATTGTTATACCTATCAAACAGGTTGCTGGAGTTCGAAACACTATCACTAATTTCCATGATGACCTGGGTGTCTTGCAACAAACAGTGGAAACATTGGTATGCTCTATTATCTTTATTTGGCTACTTAGTGGTTGTCTTGGTCATCTTGTTTGTTTAGAGTTATGAAGGTGGATGGATGCGAGGAGTTTGGTATATATTTTATTAAGACAAAAAGATCCAGTTATTTCAAATCTTTTTGCTTTTCTTATTTACCATTTATTTTCAGAATTAAAGTTTAAAAAGTTTTGTGGGTTCTTTATCTGCTTTAAGAAATGAGCGTTATGTGTAGGCTTGCTTGAGTTTGGATTATTCTTTGCTTTAGCTGACATCTGTCTACCTAAAGCATAAGAAATCCGAGCTCATCAATGACAAATAAAATACGAACTATCCCAATGACAAATAAAACCCTAACTGTCTGTTTTTTCCTGGACTATTCTTACTCTGTAGTCTGTATAATTAGTATTCTTATTCCTTTTCAGGATGAAAGATTAGCAACGTTGAGTTGGAAGCAGGTAAAATGTTCTCTTGTGCTTTTTGTCTTGTTCTCTCATCGGGAAAGAATCCTCTTTTAACACCTATTCTCATTTTAATGAATCCTCTTCTATTAGAAAATGTTTGGAGCTTAATAATAATGATAATACTAAAGTTATTTTAATCTTCAAAAAATTGTACAATACTGATTAAGCTTAATATGTTGCCATGTGTACTAATATTAAAAAGCTTTCTTGTTATAGAATTATTGATATTTATATGCATGACATTTTTCTGGCCAGTTACTGATATGACTTATCTTGGTACTTAGATTATTACTTTTACATTGTATCACCTAAAGGAAATACTGATACAGTAGTGTGACTGCAGGATTATGCAAATTATGGTTTGGAGTACCTCGTTAACTTTGTAAATGGAAAAGCTGGGCAAATGCCAGAATTTCACCAGGTAGTTTCAATTTTTACTTCAGTCTTTTAATGTGTTTTTGTTCGTCTCCCTTTCCCTACCGTCTGTGGCTACTAGATATGCAAACTTTATTACATTTCACAATGTCCTTGTCTTGATAGAAATGTGGCATCATTCACCTTCTCTTGTGGATGTCTAAGTGACACTAGTAATTGCTCATTATGCTTGTTTAAGTGCCAATTTTATGTTTTGGTTTTTCCTTTTTAGATTATCATCTAATGTATTATGGTAAATATATAACAGGCGCAGCCAAAACTTCCTGGGAAGCCTCCTGGTTTGCTCAAATACTCTGGAAACCCAAAGGTTTTACCCCTATCTTGTTCTTACAACTTTTTCACCCCCCAGGGAAACGGTTTTTCTGTCATTTCTGCTTATGTTCTGAAACCAATTATTTTATTTGTTGTTCTAGATTTGCTTAAGTATATTACGATGAAAATAATACTCACTGAATTCATTATCCTACCACTGGTAACCGAATAAATTCTCTCTACGGTGAAGCTTAATTCCCTTCATTTTAGATTAATTGTCCAGCATAAAATAAATAGTTTTACTTTATTGCTATAGTGGCAACAATCTTTGGCCATATATGTATTGCCAAATGAACCTCTCTGTTTGTTTGTTTGTTTTTTTTTTTGGGTTGCTGCTGCTGCTGTACTTGCTTTCCTGTAATGCTGTGTTATTACTTCAATCTACTAGTTGCCCCGGTGCTTTTGAAATATGAAACCTTTTAGAATATGCTATTTGATTCTGTTTTGACTTGCAGGGCTTGATAGACATTGTGGACCCGTCAGTTGGACTAGACCGGTCAGCTTCAGATGTTATTGTGCAAGATGGTATCGACAGGTCAGAGAAGCAGCAAAAGCCATTATTTAGGTATGAATTTGGTTCTTTGATTCTCCCTTGCCCCTTTTGTAGCATGTATTTTTGGCCAATGTAGGCTTAAATGTTTGATATTAAAAGAAGTTGATCAGTTAATTCAACGAGAATTCAATAGGAAATGGGAGCTAATACTGGAATTTATTGGTAGCATCCAACGGATTCAGTTATTTTACTTATTCAATTTATGAATTTCAATTAGTGGATTAGAAATTCAACCAACTCAGTCTCAAAATATAAATTGGACGAGTCTTTATCAGTATAGACAATGCTATCTATTGAATTCAAATCTGAACTTTATTTATGATTGTTTTTCTATCTCATAGACCCCTATTTTAGCGTACGATTTATACCTAGTTTTTATTTTGGGTTAAGATACAAATTTGCTTTGGAAGTTTTTGCTCAGGAACAAGATTGCCCCAAAAGTTTCAAAATGTAGCAATGTTGCCCCACTCCATTAAAAACTAACGTTGATTATGAAAAAGTTGATGTTGACTACTAACATTTTGAACAGTAAGGGTTAACATTGCTCGAAAACTTCTGATACTAATTTGCACCTTAACTCTTGTTTTTTTCAAACAAATTACCTATGCTCTTTTGCTGGGCAAATTGTGTATAATTTTACATTTAGGATTTACCTAGACAACATATATCATTATCAAGAGTGAGGCGGATTAGTTATAAGAGGCAAGGTTTGTATTTTCGGGTGGAGGGAACAAGGATTTGGTTGCATGCTTGCATTGGTTTTCTTGCATCCTGTATTTCTACGCGCAAATTATAGGAAAGATTGAGGAATGATCCATGACCCAACACTCACCTCTGATTATTGTTACTTAACTATGGGGGTGTTTGGGTGATAACCCAAACCATGGTTTGGGAAAAAATCACCCAAACACCCTTAAAAAAACCAAAACCATGGTTTTGGGAAAAGCAAATTTTTTTTGCTTTTGGAAAAAAAAAGGGAGAGTGTGAGAGCCTATAGGATATGTATCTTGTTGTTTTTTTTATAAACGTATTTTTTTATAAATATATTTAATCTTATATCTTATAAATATATATACATATTAATTATTTATTAATTATATTATCTTATGTATTATTAATTATGTTAATAAAAAATATATTATTAACAATTTTATTCCTTCAAATTAAAATATATCATAAAATATATATTTTCTGTAATTATCATATTAACTTATGCCTTTTTTAGTAATTTGTACATGTAAAAAGTGCTTCTAGTAACAACTATTCAAATACTCTCACTTCTCAGAATCACTTTTTCACAAAATCTATTCTTAAAAAATCTATTCTCTCCAAAATCTATTCTCCAGAAGCTATTCTCTAAACCATGGTTTGGTTATATTTAAACACCCCTATAAGTGCTTTATCTGGATTCCCCAGAGTCATTTCTCCCCATTCAATGCCTGGAATCATTCTTTAGCACTTGACATAGTTGGAAGGAATAGAATGTACCGAGGGATCTAGATTCTATAAGACAACCGAAACAGGAGCTGATCGAATTCAGCTACTTGGCACTCAAAGCCTACAAAATAATCAAGTCCTAGCTCGTTAAATAAGTCCAATTTACTTTCTTAAATAACTTGTGCAAAATGGTTCAGCAAAAGCAAAATAGTAACTAAATAGAAGAGTAAATGAAATCCATTTAAAAGATAAGATAGAGGTGTTTCGCATTAGAGAGCTGCATGATCAGCAACCTAACCTTTTCCCCTTTAAATTTCTCCTGCATCTCCTGAAAGAGCACCATGTTCCATGATCGAGTTGTCCATCTGGCAACGGAAGGCCTTCTATGAACGTGAAGTGATTCTAGGCTGTTTCTATTTCGATTGTTTAAGAGGCTCCAACACCATTATAGTTAGGTCTAAGCGGAGCTACTTATTTTCAAAAGCCGTCGCTATATGATTGTCATGGTTTTCCCGGGCATTTGTATTGGGAGGCCTAAAAGAATTGGGTCACTGATCAAGATTCATAATGAAGACCTTATAATGTCATAATGCTTGTCACTTCTGGTCTATGCCTTGCTTGTTTGATCCGTTTTTGCTCTATGCTGAGCGTTATCGTGTATTGATTGACCTTGTTTTCTTTGATTTTTGTAGGGCTGCTTCAACGAGGTATTAATGTATAGTTCGCAATGAAATTGTATACCGTAGCTTTCAAAAGGCAATTCTTTCATTGTCTTCTGTGTATCCAATATAACAGTAATTTTGCAGCCAAGTTGTTGGTGAGAAAATTGTGAGATCGGCTGTGATCTCTTGTGCTCACCCTTAAAACTACATTTAGTATTAAATATAGACTGACTGCTTGAGTTCATTTACATCCAAATCCCTGAATTGTGATTACACGGGTTTGTATATAATTTCAAAAAATTGAATTTTGCTGTTAATTGTGATAGTTGTCTAGTGGTATCAAGGGGCAAAGCTGATGCCAATCTTTAGACGTAGCTCCGGTTCATGTTCATTGGGAATGTGAATTAGATTGAGCGGAAAATAATACTTGTTGTCTTTAGCGATTCAGTTATTTATGTAAGTATTTTATTAGGTTTTCACATTTTTGGTCGTTATTGTTAATTCAGTACGGCTAAGTGTTAAATTGGTTTTCCAGCTAGACAAACATGCTGTGTAAATAATTTCATGTTTTTCAACTTATTAATGCGATTTCACATGGGCTAAATAAACTACTACTCCCTCTGTTCTTATTATAAGAGACATTTCATGTTTATGGCATGTTTCTATGTATAAGAGCCGCTTAAAAGTTGTTTTATTTTTTTGTGTTGATTTCCTATTTTACCCATATTTATTATTTCAAACACACTCTCTTTCCTTTCCACTTCTCTTTTCTTGAATAATTTACCATTGTTTTCTCTCATGCTCTCTCTCTTATTAATGAGGGTTTTTTGGAAAAAAATTATATCTTTTACACATTGATTGTTCTTAACTAATTTTAACTGTTTTTTTTTATCAATGTAATTCGGTTATTTTTCTCTTATAATAAAAAACAGAGGGAGTACTTTCGATTTTAGATATAAGAGCTATTTTGTGATGTGCATTGTACTATAATTATATTTAGGATTAGAGATAACAATAAGAAATATTTCTGAGGTGGGATTTTGGCCTTATCAGATGAGAAAATTTAATTTGAATATTCGTGCCTTATGATGGTAAATTGAATGATGTTGAACATTGCACAACTCTTTTCCCAAAAAATTGAAGTTTTCTAAAATTATTTCTCAATTTTGAACGAAAGAGGCAATTATACAAACCGTTGCAGCGGTGCAAACTATGATCTACAAGACGCGTGATCCGCTACCACTGAAACTACAAACTAAAATTTTATAATGCAATTTTAGAATGTAATTGAATAGATGAATTGAGGTTTGGATTTTAAATTTAAAATCCTTGCATTTAGGAGATTATTGAGATATTTTTTACTTTATTATTTAATTAGTCATTTAAATTTCCCTCTAAGTTTAAAGTTTCACATTTACCCAATTCATCTCCCCTCACGGGTGAATTCTACCGCTAATAATATCAAGTTCGGATTATGAGCCTCATTCCAATTCTCAATTCTCTTTTAATAAATTTCAATATGCATATAATGAAATGCATAATAAATTGATTGCACTAGCTAAAGCACTTGCATAAAGCAAAAAATAGAAGGCTGATCAAGAATCACTCATAAAATAGATGAAATAGATAATAATTGTGAGAATCACACACACACATCCTCTTATTATTTATGTGATAAATTAATAAGAGAAAAGGAGGATTTAATTAGTGTCCTAGCAAATTTTACCCAAATTAAATATATGTTAAAATTATACCTGGCAAACAGAAAACAGTGTTTGACAAGTTAGGTGCTATCGACATTAACGAGTCTACCGAGAATAACAAGTTTTACTCAAATTTCTTTGTGGCTGCTACTTTGCCATTTTGCACATGTTGGGGGTCAAATGAGCATATTGCTCATTTGAGCAATGTAAAAAGAAACGGTTTGAGCCGAAGCATGAAGTAGGCTCCAAAGAATCCACTAACATTAATGTCATTCTAGTTCATTTGTGCAAGGAAGAAGGGACAATCAAAGAAAGCCTCTCCAGCACCTTTAAGATCTATGAATGACGAAGAGGAGCAATGGACAAAAAGAAGAATACCTTCCACCTCAAGAATATCTCATATTCCCTCAATTCTTTTTATAAGAGGCATTTGACCAAATCACATTAATGAAAAAAATTAATTAAAATTGGTTCGATAAATATGTAAAAGCTATTACTTTTTCTCTCTCTAAAAAGTACCATTATTTATGGGAAGAGAGAGTGTAAGAGACAATAAAGATACTATTAGAATAAAGATAGTGGAAGAGAGAGAATATGTGAAGGGGAGAGCAAGTGAAGGAGGGAATGATGTTTCGGGAGTTGTATGGTACTCCTCCGATACTTAATATAGGACCTACTTGTTGAGTTGGTTTTGACCCTAAATATAAGATCTATTTCTTTTATTTATCAATTTTCTCTAAATTACCTCTATAGATACTCTCTCAACTATAATTAAGTAAAAGAAGAAGAGGGAGTATTAAGAAAGATGATCATGGTATTTTAGAAAAACATGTCTCATAATTAACTAACTTACCTAACTTCCTTAATCTAATTAAATTAGTTAAATAGGTCTTATATTAAGGACTAGAGGAGTAATAAATATATTGATTTTAGAAATGAGTAATTAAATGGGATAATATAGGAAATTAACAAAAAATTTTTGAGACATCATCTAAATATTTCTTATAAATAGAAACACGCCATAGGTTGGAGTTATGTTTCATGTAAATAGGAAGTGTGAGAGTAAATAAGAAATATAAACCGCTCTACACTACATTCAAGCCTCCTATCACAAGGATATGATTCGTTTGGTAACATGTGATTCTTACCCTTTATGCTTATTTTTTTCTATGAAAGAAAATTCCTCATCGGACGACAAGGAAAACTTATGAAATTTAAGCATTGATACTACAACACAATCAAGTATAAGGAGAAGGAGAGAAGTATTTTGAGCTAAAAATATTATTGGCAACATTTTTCAAACGATCATCACCTTTTCCAGAACAAATGAAGATTTCTAAACTCTCTCTTTATATTTTTTGAATATATCTTTCGGGGATGCATTGCATGGGTGATTAGTTTTTTGCGGATGATAGCTTTCATTAACCCTTCCATGCATTTGCATCACATTGAGGACAAAGATGATAAATTCTTTTAATAGAAGGAGGTACATTCCTTTTCTAATATCCATCAAACTTTTTTGCTGATCTCGAATAATGGGGAATGATGGCCATGAAAAAAATTCTCTTCTGGTAACTGTAAATTTGGTAGTATATTGCCACTGGGAGAGAACAAGTAAGGAAACCCATCAGTGCCTTGTGCGTTTTCCACCCTTTCTTGCTCTTCACCTTTTCCCTGATTTATATTTTTCTGCATTAGCTCTCTGAACACTGAGGATTTCAGCAGAAGTCCTAATGCTGTTGGAGAAGATGATGACTTAGCACTACTACTATGACATAAAGGGGTTGAATACTGAGGTATGTCTTGATCCTTTGGATTGTGATTGAAATCAGGTACCTGCAGGTGTACAAAAAAATTGATAACTCTCAGGTAACCTTTTGGACAGATTTCAACACACACATTCATAATCCAATCAATAATTTAATATAAGCGACCATTAAAACAATTGAGAAACTTTGAGAGAACTCTTGGGACAGATTTTAACATGAAAACTCTGAATTATTGTCAGTAATTTAAGATAATTAGAATGTTTCGCCATTGATACCTCAGTTATTTCTCTGGTTTGGGTGATGTTAGGATTCATTATGAGATGGCGATATTCTGGGTTTTGCTTTTGCTCTTGAGAAGCAGTATCAAGGGCTTCTGGTCTTAGCCATCTAACATATGTGCTCAAGTCAAAGTTTGTTACTGCATTTAAGCCTCTGTATTCTATAGCTGCTATATCATATGCACGAGCAGCCTCTTCTTGTGTACCTGCAAGATCACCATTCTTAAGACACTCACTACACACACACACACATTTTCTCACCTTCAAAGTACTAAGAATTTAAGTTTTGATAACTTTGATCTTTTCCTGAATATTTTAGAGTATTGATATAAATAAGAGTGTGAAACTTACTGTAAGTGCCGAGGTATAGGTACTTGTTACCAAACACTCTCCCGATTCTTGCTTCCCATCTTCCATTGTGATGGTGCCTGCAACAATCAAATTTCCGAATTTTATAGCCTCACCATGAAATATGTACTTGATACCCCCTCTAATTCTTATTATAAGCTTCGAATAACCAATTTGCATATAATAAAAAAGTAGTTAAAATTGGTTAAAACAACAGCTAAGTAAGAAATGTACTTTTTTCCAAATATAAAGCAATAAATGAGAAAGTGTGGCAAATGAGAGAGAATAAAAAACTAAGGGTACAATTGGAAAGAACGTATTAAATGTTGAGACAAATCCAAATTGAAGCCTATAAAATGGGCTACACCCCTTTCCAAATTTGAAACTTATAAATAGACCGAAAGGGGTAGAAATGAAAAGAATTGATTGTAACAGGCATTTGTTGAAAAACTAGTTCACCTTGCTACTCCTCTGTACTTTGATACTCCTCTGGAAAATCCACTGCTTCTCCTGCAAAAATGTAAAATTAATCACATACATACATGTCATATTACTTAGTATGATACTGATCAGTTTTTGAAGAAATGGGATCTTACCTTCTTAAAGAAGCAAGATATTCTTCTTTTGTCATAGTTTTCATTATCTCAATCTCGTTCTCATAATTTGATACCTACAGAAGTGTCAAACTAGTTTATAAGTTGATGGACATCATTGGCATAACCTATGGTAGTTACGAAAATAGTTAGATCCTCAAAACTATTAAACAAAAAAGGTACGCCGAACACACTTTTAAGTAGAATTATACATCCTTGTATGATTATTTAACGACTTGCTGAGTTAACAAAACATTTTGTAGATTGAATATATAAAATTTTTCTCAAGATCAATTAAAGATCACTTAGTTTACAGATGAGATCCGTACAGGGAAATTTGTGAAGGTAGAAATTCCCCAGTACTTAAGTGCAGCCAAATCATAAGCTCTCGCAGCAGCTTCTTCATCAGCATAAGCTCCTGTTCAATAAGTCAATCTCATAAGGTCAGATTTCAAATTTATGAGAAGAAATGTAAGAAGCAAACAGTTCACGCACTTACCCAAATATACTGATATATACCACCCAGTAAATCCAAATTTGCCAGGTAAGACCACAAGGAAACGAACAAGGTGTGAGAAATCAAGACAAGTATATAAAACAACATAGTAAGTCAATAAGAAATGAAGGAGATGAAGTGTTGGAAAACATCAGACACACACACACACCTTGCTTCCCTTTCTTCTTTTGAGTTGGATTCCATGTCCCTTTGTCCCATAAATGAGCTTCATATCTCCCTGTCCATCTATGTCTGCTTTGCAGGAAAATATGATTAGTTTCAAATCATTAATCAAGCACTCATGTTAAGAAACAGTGGATTATTACATTTGAAGTTGTGAAGTTTATGATCGAACGATTCATTTTCATCATTATGTAATAATTTGTTCAGAAAAAAAGAGACCTGCTAACTCCGCGAAACCTTGAACTTCTCTTGACAGTAGTTGCGGTAGTTGATTGACCACCCTGCTGTGGTTGCTCTTGTTTCTCATTGCCCTCTAAAGGTGCCACCGACGAGTCTCTTCGCCGCCTTTTCGTGCACTTTATGTCAATATCCCTGCTTTCCATCATGAACATCCTATGGTTTCTCGGGCAGAATTCAGTTTTTACACTTGCAAGCTCCATTTTGCTGTAAATGTTTTTGGACAAGAAAGGCCAATAGACACAAGAAAGTTTGTTTACTTAGAGAATGAGATATATACTTATGTTAGGACTAGTTCGTGTACATATATATGCAATGAATGTTTTGTTCTCATCCTTAGCTTGTCCTTGTGCCGTCATAACTGGTTCGTTGGAAGAAAGACAAGAATGTCGATGAAAACCACCAGAATGAGACCAGCTCTAGGTTGTCCACACCCCATAAAACCTGGTATGATCGTGGGGATATAAACAAAATTGTCTGGTTCAATGTAACAGAATGTTCCATTCAAAATATTCTCAAACAATGTCTCTGATAAAACCAAAGTATGAATATTGTCTTGTATTAGTTATAGCCACTATGGAACTGAGATCAAACAGAGACCATGCTTAGGTTTATAACGTGAAGTAACAAACAGAAGAAGAGGACTATTTAGTTTTATCATTAATTAAATTGCTTAGCTTTGAGGGAAGCAGATTCCTTGCAGTTCCAATGTTTGAACTTTTATTATCATCCAACAGCCATGAGCTAGTCTCCACAAATGACGCACATCAGTTTTTGCTGTCAAAGGATTCATGAATGCTTGCAGAATGATCTTGTAATTAAGTGTTATTTTATTTATTAATTTATCGATTAATTCATGCATTCAATGTTTTGGGACTAGTACTAAATTAAATATATTAAATAATTTAAGGGATATATCAATTTTATTTCTTAATTTAATTAATGGCGCATTTTTAATTTTTGTTAAAAATGAAATTTTGGTATTATTTACCTATAAAAATTTAATTCATTTTTTATTCAGAATCCTTTGATATCCGAGAATAACAATTCCTTCTAGTCCTAAATATAGAAGCTTAGTTGAGTAGTTTGATTTGATATTAAATGTAAAATCTCAATTCATCTTATCTCTCAAATTAAATCTATAATTTTTTTTCAAATTATTCTATCAATTGCACATGTTAAAAGGAATTTACATCAACAGGGGTAATTTCAACACAAATAAATAACACAATTTTTACAAATAACTAATTTTTTTTTATCTTTGTAAATTAATTAGTATAATTATCTAGTTCTTATATTTAGAATTAAAGAAAGCGATTTAGACCGAACCTCAAATAAGATATATATATAGCTTCCTCTCCACAAATACTTAATTCTTTTTACTAAGATTTAATGCTACATACTTAGTTTAGTTTCTACATAAATTTCCACATACTGATTGAAGCAACCCAAATGCCTCTAGAACAATTAATTTCTATATACAATTTAAGTTATAAAATGGATATGATTTTATATTCTTTGATAGGTAAACTTATGATTCAAAGGGGAAAGAAAACATAACAGATTGATTGTAAGAGAATCTAATGACGGAGTATCTCAAGGGAGAAAGATTAGAAAATTTCGAAAGCAAAACAAAAGGGTTTTTGGCTTATCCCATGAGACGAATTCAAATTTCAAACTTCAATGGAGCTTCTTTTTGTACTTAGTGATCACCATGCAGTAACATCGCATGGCATTCTTAATTTATATGTTAAAAATTGTTTCCATTTATGAAACTGCTTAAAGCAAATGCGTAGCAGATATCGTTTCAAAAAAGTACTTGTTTGTTTTATCTTGCAAATTTGTGTACCAATTCCACCTTCAACTTTCATATTGCATTAAGCAGAAGAAAATAGAATATACTATATTCGGTTATTATACCCATCTTTAAGATCTTTTTTTTTTTTAATAATACATTTTAAAGATCTTTATTAAGAGGTTCTTTTTAACTTGTCTACGAAAAAATTATTTAATGTCCTTTGCTATAATATCTCCTTATCAATTAAACAACGTCTGATTAATTCATTACCCTCTATTTAATAAATTTCATTGCACATAATTTAAAATTTTAAAAGATTAACTAATTTTAATTGAATTTTTATTCTGTGTAAAGTTAATTATACTAGAGGTTCTTATAATAAGGGCTAGCAAGAGTATTTTTTTAAAAAAAGGAAAAAATTAGATCTATTATGTTGTACATCTCCTAATAATCTTCATCAACATTTAAAGAATTTATATTTTTATCTTAAAATGAAGGAGGATATAAATGATCGAGACTTAATTAAGTACTAAATAAAAACACCTTTAAACAAAAAAATTTTTACTCCATCCTATTATAAATGTAGAAATTTAATAACTAATTTATATAGATTAAGAAAATTTGTTAAACATATTGTAAAACATGTGTTGGTTTTTTTATTAAAAAAAAACCCCAGTTATCATTTGTATTAGAAAGTACCCCCATTATCTTTTAAAATAGGGACACTTTTAAAAATATATATAAATTTGGGATATAAATGTGAACTGAAGTTTTATATATAAGATCAAAACATTCCTCAACCAATTAAAGGAGTAATTTGTAACAGACAATAATATAATAAAATTTAAACCATTCATATCACATCCGAATGGTTCAATGAAACAAGTCTTGTACCAAATTCAGCTGCAACTGTTTTCTTGTGGGTAATGTTTTATGCTTAGTAATCATGTGTAAAACATATTATGTCGTATTTGTAAATACGTGTAAAACATGTTTTGTCATTTATGAAACTGCTTCAAGTAAATGCTTAGTAGACTCCGTCCGAAAAGACTTCCACCTTTGTTTGTTTTCCATCTGGCTTCGTCAATTTGTAGAGAATTTCAGCTTTTACTTTCAGCAAACCCTGTCGAAGAAGCTGCCCGGGGGGCCCGCCCCGGGGGGGGGGGGGGAACCTCTGTAGAAGAATACAGAATTTACTTCTTCAAGAAGCTTTCGGATTATACTTCTTCTGTGTTTCATATATAAGGCATATTTAACCAATTTGATTAGATTACTATAGGTTAGTTAATTATAAGAAATATAATACTTCTCCGGTCTTTAATATAAGACCCATTTAACTAATTTGATTAGATTAAGAAAGTTAGGTAAGTTAGTTAATTATAAGAAATGTAACACATTTTTCCTAAAATACCATAATCATCTTTCTTAATACCTCATCTTCCTCTTCTACTTGATTATGGTTAAGGGAGTATCCATAGGGATAATTTAGATAAAGCTAATAAATATAAAAAATAGGTCTTATATTTAGAACCAAAACCAACTCAACAATTGGGTCCTATATTAAGGACCGGAGGAGTATGTTTTTCTTAAAATACTATAATAATCTTCCTTAACATCCCACCTTACTCTCCTACTTAATTACGGTTGAGGGAGTATCAATAGAGGTAATTTAGAGAAAAAAATTGATAAATATGAGAACTAAATCTTACATTTAAGATCAAAATCAACTCAATAATTAGGTCTTATATTAAGGACAGGAAGAGTACTACGTTAATAGAGAGATTTATTTTGGCTTTGAATATAGGACCTTTGTATTTTACCTTAATCTACTTTGCTTCCTAAATTTATAATTTTTTTAAACTCTTTCTATTGATTGCATATATTAAGAAGTTTTTTGCGCATAATAAAATGGTGTAATTAAAAAAAAACCAACACTTGTTTTACAAATAATAACTAAATTAATTAATTATCTTAATATCTTCAAATTAGTTATTTAACTCATAATAAACATGTTCTATTCGCTAAAATTCTCATAGGATTTGTTATTTTAGGTTTATAATTGATTTACGTAAGTATAAGGGTGTTTGATTTTAGCATTTGCGAAAATGTTCAAATATTTTTTTAAAAAATAAAACCATGATTTTAACTCTTATATTACAAAAATCATTATTTGCTAATTTTACTCATTTGTAGATACGGCATTCCAAAATTTGCTTCAATCTTACACCGAAAACATCTTCATGAAGGCGAATTGGGAAAGCTGATTGGCTTAATGTCAGATGATTTATGTCATTTCGTCTTTTTATTTGGAAACTATTTTTTCGGTTGGGAGAATTATTGTGAAGTCGAAAGATAATTTTTAAAAAGTCTCAATAATAAATGAGTAGCTAGATTTTGTTATTATTTTTTATTCTAAAACGTGTCATTACATACTGTTAAGTTAGTAAGACTTTTTGTGAATATGTGAGATTTTATTGTAATTCTCTTTTTTTCAGTTCGCAACATCAAAAGAAATTCCTTTTGTTGCAACGTATATTTTCATGGATTGTTGAACAAATTTTAAAACAATCTAATGTCTCACACCACAGGCTTTTTGGAACAAATTTTACGCATAATGGATTGTGTTCTTCACATATTTTTCCTTAAATGCAACTTATAATTTGCTAATTTTACTCATTTTTGTGAAGATAAATTGAGAAAGCTTATTGGCTTAATGCTAACTGTCTGATATTCTATATATGATTCATCTTTTTGTTGGGAAGCTCTTTCCTTTTTCAGCTTCTTTTCTTCCTTTCCATCCAAAAAAGTCCTTTCTAGCTAGTAACTAGTTTGTTCCTATTACAGAACTAATTTTTACCATTCACTTTGGCAATGCACAGGTAGCATTCTTTTCTTTACATGTACAGAGATTCTTTCTATTGCACAACATATTTTTATAATTATCAATAACAATGAACAAATTTTTAACTAGATCCTGCATTTATGACAATTGAATATTTATATGTTGATATACGCATTCCAGGGCATCACTGTTCAAAGAAGATAGGAGTGTGCTTTCGTCTCATTCCATAAACATCTTAATGAAGACAATTTTAGTACCTTATCAATCTTCTGCCACTTTCTCTCTCTATATGTGAAGTTTCTTATTTCAAATCAGTAATAATTCTTTAACCTTATTTGTAGATACTGGATCACAAAGAATACAAGTGAAATCGTTTTAACTTTACATTGCAAACATGAAAATAAATTGGGAAAGTTGATTGGCTTTTATTAGGAAGTTTGAATTTGGTTCAATTTTACACTGCAGACATCTTACTACGGCATCATATTCAAAAGCAGAGAACAGAGACCAAACAGAACCAGCAACAGAAGCCTTTTGCTTTTCAACTTTCTTTTTACATGGGCAAGTCAAGCTGTGTATCCAAACGGTTCTCAGTTCAATTCACGTTGATAATTTTTTTGTTGTGAAATAGCCCGTAATTGCAGAGCATCCAATCACTATCTCATATGCATATATAGTCTGATTTCATATCAAGATTAAGGTACAACTAACACTCTGAAGTATTTCTTTAGGTGCATCCAATACTCTAAAGTATTTTATAATACACCTAGAAAAATCCTTCAAGATGTTAGATACACCTTAACCCTTCACATTATTCCCACATTTTATTGCAGTTGTTGGGACCTAAATAAATAATATTAATAGAAAAGCCCGTGTTTCATCAAGTTCAGAAAGGCGAACCTCTGGAGGTGAAGGCACACCTATACCCAACTCAGATAACATCATCAGATCGTTGTGTCTGACTTTGTCTTCTAACATAAGGCACAAGATTAAAACAGTTTAAGAAAATTTAAACTATAACTCAAAAAGTTGTGTACAACCATAATAGATGTTTTGCCATCCTGTTCAATGAAGTTGCCACAAAATACCATGACTATAAATGCTGACCGTTCTACACATTCTTACTACATTGAATCTTGAATGCAATGTGTGTATAGTATGCAATCATGTGTAATTAATGCTATGTATGCATAGTATGTATGACACAACTTACTTCCTAATTTAAACATATGCACTATTTTTCCAGTTCTGAGACGAACCTGACTTCTAGGCTGTAACGGTAATTTCTGCAGCTTAATAAATAATGCTGTTTCTATGCTTCTCAATAACAGCATCGTATAACTCACTTCAATTGGAGCTCTATATGATGAATGATGATATCATGAGAACTTATGATGCCTCCCAAAGCTTATAATCTCTTCCCTCACAAGCTAAGGACCATCTTCCTGAGGATCTGCTAGGGGGTTCAAAATGACCAGGTCCAATCTTCATAGCGAGTTTTTCGTCAATTACAGCTGCGTAGACATCCCTTTCTGCTTTAAGAATTTGAACCTAGAACATGAAGATAAAAGAAAGTATTAGAATCGTAGGGTCAACTTCAACCTAAGACTTACGATTAAGCTGCTTGATAAGCTTAGGAGAAATATCTTATCCATTGAGTCCAGAAAATGTCCACATGGATGCTAATGTTGACTATTAAAGACAATACTATGATACTCACTGTGCTTCTACAGTGTATCTTGTTCCGTTTCCTGAGGGAGATAAGTGATCCTATTTCAGTCCGGTAGTGGGAGAAAATGTGGTCAAAGAACACTGATGGTGTTCCCGGATGAGTCAGGATGTAAGCATATCCTTGCATTTCTTTTCCACTTGGAAATCTCCAATGACCCTTTCAGAGAAAAGAATACGAAATCAATTATATATATAATGTAGACACGTCTTCTACCATATCATAACAGCATAGTGATATGGCATCCTCGAAAGAGGGAACTTATTTAAAAAAATTTTCAAACTTATATAATCATGCAAATAAATACCCCCATGTTGATATATAAATCTACACCACAAGAAACAACGTCTAGGAAAAGATATTTTTGCATGAAATTCAAACCTGGGTGGAACCAGTGTCATGATTTTCTATGAAGGTAACTGCACGAGATGGCCACCACCCAATGGCACCAGGAGGCTTTCCTTTCCGATCTGTCAAACGCCAATACTCACATCTTTCCAATGCCTACAGGGTGAGGAATTAAAAGAAGGCACTGTCATGACCCAACATTAAAGAAATAACAGGCAGACAAGGAGAAAGGAATTTATTATAATAGCATGCATATTTTTGTCCTTTCAGAGAGGTTCTATGTCTTTCAGACAGAAAACAGACAACAGAAGAGGCCACAGTGAGGTTTTCTAAATCAGTTCAGTTACAAATATTTATGAGCAAGGGTAGATGAATCAGCAAGAGAAACTTATATAAGTGTTTCTTTTTAATTTTTTATCTGATAAATGGAAACAATTATATAGGTCTTGTGTGCCTAGAAGGTATTTTATACAGAGTGTAAATCCAGAAAAATGTAATAAAAATATCAGAGTTCTTACTGAGTGAAGAATCCCTTTTGTTGTGACATCAAAAGCACCAGCAGTACCATTGGTAGCATTGATCCAGTCAATAATCCTCTGCCTGTGTGCATCTTGATTATGATCCATCTCACCATAAGTATAACTCAGCGAATCCCAGTACTCTCCCACGGCAAAGTAAGGTTCACTTGCCTCCATGTAATCCTTTACATAACCGCCCCAAAATCCTCTTGCAAAGTCAAGCCTCCATCCGTCATACCCAATTTCTTTCCTGAAGATCACACGTTATGAGCAAAAGATAGAACAGATAAACTCCTCTACAACTCTTCCCAGAGCATTATACTTGTGCCATAATAAAGAAAAATGAAGTGGCCAGGAAGTTAGACTATAGTAGAGAAAAGTAAGGTATAAACTATCAACCTCAGCCAACATAACCATTCTTTCAGATCAGTTCTCACAAATTCCTGTGAATGGTCAATATTTGGAGCTGCGTGGAAATTATCTCCACTACTCTTGTTGCCCTTACCCTGCATGAAAGAGGATATCCATTACATATTTCGAATTCATCCAGAAGGATAACATTTTTAAGGTATTCGTAGTAAAAAGCACTTTAAAAGAACAAAGCATGCATATCATATCTGAAAAATAAGAGAAGCGCTGCCAAATTCTTTACTTCTCTCAAACCATATTTGTCACTTAATCAGCAAATCCAGTGGGAATAAATCAAAATTTCCATTACATAATAAGCATGAGACTTTGCTTCATGAAACCTATTTTATTCAAATTTTAAAACACCTAAAAGAACTTGTTTACTTTGTTCGCAGAAAATTAAATATTTGAAATGCAGTAAAAGGTAACAACTAATTGCAGGAAATCACCCAAAAAAAAAAGAAAACAACTAATTGCAGAACATGACAAGCAGAGGCATATATGCTTCTCACTTTTATTCAGGATAAGGCACAATTACATAATTCGCAATGCAGTAAATGGTGAGAGAATAATTTAAGTACCTAAAACGTTCAGTGCTTTCTATGCTCTCATAATGATAGAAGTTCAAAAAATCCGCACTTATTTGACACTATTCTAACGAAAAGATCACTCCTGAGTTGCAAGAGAAACTAACAAAACCAGTGGCAATTTAGAGCTGATTCACAAGTTTCAATGATTGCTTACTTGACAAAGCAATGACAAGCTTAGAACAACGATGCTTTATTATATATTCGAGCATAATGTTATCAACACATGTATTTCTTTTTCAAATATAATTTCTAGAGATTTTTATCGATATTTTGAATAATGTAATTGTAGAATTAAAAAAGAAATGTTTGTCAACTTTGTACAGGACAGAATTATATATATAAGTAAGATGGGTCACTGCATCTCAGATGACTGCTAACATACAATCACAATTAAAAAAATGGAAAAGGAAAAAAGACTAAGAAACAAAGCAAAGGGCATTGAAACATGATTTATTCTTGGTGTGACATCCCGTTGCTTTGTCTAACGCATCAGAATTTGAGAACAAGTGAAAACTCCAACTCTCTAATATCTAGTAAATGATTTCATTTCCTAGGATACAGCACATTTCAAAATAAGCACGAGAAATATCATACTAGCTTGACATATTTTATTTTATGAGATTTGATATCAATGTTTCACAATCTCAGGATAGAAATGACCCCCCAATAGTGAAAGAACAACATAAAGGGAAAATAACAAAATAGATGTATCCGAAACCGTTCAGAAAAAAATACCTGAAAATGTGGATCGTCAGCAACAACTGCACGATCATCCCAATTCAGACGACCACCAAATATGTTCCAAACACCATTTTGATTCTGGTACTGAGCACAGCGGTGATTTAGAACAGCATCCCCAAGAACACTGATTCCAACTTCATGGAATCTTTTCACCAAATCCTTCAATTCATCAATGCTTCCATATCTGATATATGTGATAAAATAGTAACAAGTCCCATCCACAAAAATATCAAGTGACAGCAAACAAAAGTTTGGGAAGTCCAAAATATGGCATATACTTTCAGATTAAGCAGTTTTCCAAATACCAGGCCTTCTATCTTTAAATTAAAAGATAATTGACAAAGGAAAAAAATTGTTTAAGAACTATCAACATTCTAATGTAATACCTGGTGACAAAGGAAAAAAGTTGTTAAAGTACTATCAACATTATAATGTAATACCTGGAATTTAGATTATATAAATCCTTTGGCATGTATCCTTCAGGTGAAACAGATTCTGTAGGTGGGGGTAACCATATCACAGTAAAACCAAGTGAGGCTAGTTCTTCAGCTTTCTGTTTAAGCTCCACGTACCATCTTCCAGATTTATGAGATTCCCAATTGAACCCTTGGCATAATATTTCATACCCTGTTCCTGTTCCTGAGCAGATTTTTGCAGGCAATCTCTTGTCCTTTACTTCCACAGCAGCCTTAGTTTCCACTGGAGGCTCCTCTGAAAAAGTAGGAACGGAGTTTCTGAAGATGTTATAGGCTTCAGCAGCAAGTCTTTCAATCTCCTGAAGAATGTTTCCTTGAGCTTCCTTGGATTTTACCTTTTGATTCTTTTCAGAGGAAATGTCTGACACCAAATTTTTTAAGTCTTTGATTATTCCATCAGCAAATCCAGAGAAGGAGTTTGTTTGGTTTGCCTCTTCAGTCTCTTCTACATGTACACCTTTCGACTCATCATCTATGTTTTTGACACGTAAGCTACTAGAACTTGAAAGAGGAAGATAAAAATCATTTCCAATGTAATTTAACCAAGTATTTTCATCTAGCCTAAGAACAAAAACAAATCCTGAAAAGCCCTCTTCCAAAGTGATTATTATTGAGCTTCCGTTTCCATCCTCTCTTGGCTGAAAAAACAAGAGGGGCGAGTTAATAATACGATAAAAACACAAAAGAAGGAAGTTATCTACAATAATAAATTGGAGCTGACGCACAATAACCGAACTTCGAATTTACAAAGATGGAAAGTGGAGATTGAGTGAAAAATAACCCGTCTTAATGGATGATTGCTTGCATTCATTTAAAATCTCCATAAATTATCGTGTCAGATAATGTTACATTGCTATATTAAGAAAACAATGAGGCAGGAGTCGATCAAACGCACTGGTTTGCTTTTACTCATGTTCAGAGAATAAAGTTTCTACAATTCAGATCTTCATATAGATCACTACTGACATCTGATGGGTTGTGTTTTCAAAAACAAACAAAAACAAGAAAACAAAACAAAAAGAAATGAAAAGGGAAAAAAAATCCTCCAAAAAACAAAAGGAAAATGTATTTGACTTTGAGAAAACAACACAGAAAAACTAGTCGAAGGACAAAGTCGAACAGGTTAGTCCACGATTAAGTTTAAGATAGCAAAAGTTCAGTACTGCTTTTTAAGGTCCAAAATCTCAACCCCTTATGAATGCTATTTAATATGGGTCCGCTAAGAAATTACCACAGCTATAAGATTTAAAAATTTTGTTACATTTAAAGTTTTAAATCTTATGGAGGTGTCTATGCTCTAAAGCATGCCCATTGAATTAATTAATGGGAATACTCCACCATTCAAGGCATAGAAACCAAAATCTATCAGAGTAGTCAATGCTACGTTCTTAGAACATAATAAGGGTAACTTGTCATCTCTGAACCTGTAGTGGAGTTCTTAGAGCCCGGTCTTTGAAAGCTACTGTCTCTGGAGGATGAGGAGCAGGTGGAACTTCCCACTTTCTTTTTTCATCCCGGCAAACTCCCCAGTGAAGGACAATTTCTCCAGGTATATCTGTTTCCAGATATATAAGGTTCTTGGCCATCTCAGAGCAATTCCTAATGGAGACACTGACGGATTTATTGACCCAAATCTTCTTTGCAATAGGAAGTTCTATGTAGAAACCATCAAGTTGACCATTTTCTTCTTTGGAATCTCTGGATTCGCCGCTGTTTTCTTGACCTTTGTTTGTGTCCGTTCCCAGAAGAATGTTGGATAACTGACCCAAGGCCCCTGAGTCAGGAAATACGATTAAACATGTCTCGGTTCAAGTTCAACACATAATTTCCCGAGGAACCATTTAAACAGAATAAAAGTAAAACTTCACATAGAGCCTCTCTATATGTGTTCTGAACAAACTGTTAAGAACGAGATCACTGGCTCAATTTTACACAATTCTGCAGCACATGGAGAGATTAGAAAACTAATTACGTCTAGAGATCAATTTCATAATGCCACCTCAACGATAAGGAGAAGCAGGGATTAGACTTTCAGGTATGTATTTTTCCCTATAATTGAAATGAAATGCTACAAAAGTGAGAAATATATAAAATGGAAATCATATTTCTTCTTTTACTTTTCTTTGAGGTAATAATTAATGGCCATTCACTCTAGAAACCCTTTATGGTTCTCTTTCATAAAACCTTGAGCTAATATACGCAAGAATTTATCAAATGGAACCAAAGGATGCATCCCAGGATAATTACTAGTGTGACATCCTTAAAAAGAACACAAAGTCTGCACACTTTGTCAATTTCAAGGTGTGAGACAAATTATCGTGTTGAGGAAAGGAAATGTAGGATATATTCTAAACCTGGCCAAAAATTAAAGCCCCTTTTAGGTCCCATTGTATTAGCGTCATCCTTGATGTAATCAACCAAAGGCACTTTAAAATCTCTTCCTTTGTGTTGATACCAAGCGCCGGTTTCTTCATCCTGCATAGCAGTTGTTTCAGCTAAAAGGTTTTATCTACTAACAAAAACTGACATCCGCAAATACTTATTTTGTAAAACAAACCTTCACAACGAAATTAATTGATGAAATTCCTTTGCAGGGTTTAAGATCAATTTTGACTTCATAAAACGTATCTCGTTCAGCAGAAGATAATGATGATTTCTTCATGGGTGTCTCTATTGCGTGGTCCTGCAAAATGTTTAACTTCCAATTTAAACTTTCTCCGTGGCATTAATGGCATGTGCCGCTTGTGATCAAGAGAAGTATATACCTTTATAGAAATAGAGCCGGGGGGTATCATATTGCTTGGAGGTTTATCCCATTCACTGCAAAATAAACATAATATCATTTTACGCGCCTTGTAGCTTAATCCGTTAATTATGCAATTAGTAATAAGATCTGGAAAAGAAAATGAAATAAATAAACCAAAATCACAAAATGGCTCAAAATGGAAAAGAAAGCAAATTAATATTTGAATTTGAAAAAAAAAAGGAAAAAAAAAAAAAGGGCTTCACGACATACCAGCCAACATCATCAACGTGGGAAACACCCCAGTGAAGAACCCATTTTCCTGGAAGATTACAACCTACCCTTAGCTCCCAGTTGCTTGAATGTTTTACTTGATCTAACCTTACGGAGATCTTTCCTTCCAACTGCAAATTCAAGTTTAAGAATCCACAAGTTTCACCAATATCAAAAACCGATATATTTTAAGTAGCCGATCAGACATTTAAAAATAATAAAAATAACGAAAATAACTTTTACGCCTTTCATGTTCTCGTCAAGACCTTTTCAAAAGTGCAAGCATCAGTCTGATTAGAAAACAAAGAAAAGAAAAAGAAAAAAGGATGGTCCCGAAGAAGGGGCAAGACAAATCAACTGATCGAGCATATTCAAACTTCGCTCCTTTTTACATTTGTAAACTCCAGAAAAGACAAATCTAACTTCCTTCAATATATGCAATTTGTTTCGTTCAGAACGAAAAAGTGCCTTATAATTAAAAAGTAAAAGAAAAAAGCTGGGAAAGAAAATGAAAATCTCATTTCCTGCGGTTCGATTTCTCCAGGAAATGCATCTGAAAATCGATTACGGAAAAAATAACTCAGTGTGAGAATACCTTGACCATACTAATAAAAAAATTCAAAAAAAAAAAAGACAAAAATATCATTCTGGAAACCGAAAAAGTAAAGATGATGGAAGTGGAAGGCAAAGTTCAGACCATCTCAGTTAGTTTCACTGGAAAAGTATCCTTGGAGGAGACATCGGCAGATTGAAAGGGCTCCAAGATAGTAGTATCAGTTGACACAGCAGAGACTGAATGAGACGGAGACGTACGAGGTGGCCGGAAGTTGCAGAAGATCCTGGCATCAGAAAACACATAATTGTTGGAAGAATAGCGATTCGTGAAGCTAGTGCTTCTGAATAATGGCTTTGATTTGGAACGACAACGAGGAATTTCTCGACGACGGATGTGAAAGACTGGCTTCAAGCGAACGGTTGACATGGTCGTTTCTGTTTGCCAAGAAACGGGAAGAAGTTACAGAGGGAGATCAGCGAGCTTGCCTCCTTCAAACTTATATATAGTTATAGGAGTCAGGAGTGGATGAAAATTTTTATATTAATTTTATTTAATAATTGATTTCAAATTGAATATTAATATTTTATCTCTAATCATGAATGAGGGAAAAAATGATTAAATTTAATTTGATTAAAATAATAATGCATGCATAATTATACAAACCAGAATAAATAAATTGTTAGCCATGTTTGTCTCTTATAGCTTAATTTAGAAAACAAAATTGTAAATTTCTGATAGCTAATGGATTAAAATTAGTAAAATATCGATTTCAATTTAAAAAAATCAGCCATTAATACGAACATTTTCTTACAAGAGCTATTAAAATGATAAGATATAAAAAATTAATTTTAATTAATAATGAGATAATTTTTAAGATCAATTTGCTTTTTTGACAAGAATTGTATGAAGAAACAAAAACTGAGTTCATTTTCTTACAAATATGTGTTTAGATAGGCGTAAATTTTCTTACATGAGACATTATAAAAGATAGGAAAGAACAAAAAATTGACTTTTCGAGATAATATAAGATTAAGATTTTTTTTGTCAAAATATAAAATTAAGATAAATTTCTTTTAGGACAATTTTAAAATTATATATAATTTAATTGTACATAGCACCAGAAAATTCGCTCCTGCAAATAAGGAAATGGTCATTCCTATTTCCATCATAAATCTAATGGATAACTTTTAGAAGGGAATTCCTATAGAAATGATCAAAGGGTCCTACCCAAGTGAATTTTTTTTTATTTTTTAAATTATCATAAATTTTTTAATTAAAATTTTGAAATACTTTTTCCAAATGTGTTAAGAATATTTATTTGTTCAAATGAACAAATAACTTAATTCTTTATCATTTTATGATCAGGATATTTAAGCTATATCATATCTGATTACTGATTAGTTTTTCATTATTGATAATTTTATTTATAATTTATTTCAATATTAATAATTTTATCTCTTATCATTTCATTTTGGATCAGATAAAGCAATCGATTAATATTTAACTTAACTACGATGATATACTTGCACAATGGTAACAACGAGACCAAATAGATTTTCAGCGATGTTTATATGTCAGAGCTTAATTTAGCAAAAAAAAAAAAAGGTATAAATTTCTCACAGTTAGTAAAATTATAATTAGTAAAATAGCAATTTTAGGTTACTAAAACCAGCCGTTAATACGTACATTTTCTAGCGAAAGATATTAAAAATATTAAAAAACAATTTAACTTCTTATGAGATGAGTTCTCTTGGGAACAAATTGCTTATATTTATCTCGACAAAAAAAAAAACACTTGAGTACATTTTCTTGCAAGAATGTACATAGGCAGGTACATTGTCCTACATAAGACATTAAAAAGGTTAATTAAGAAAGAAAAAATTATTATGAATATTATAATATTGTGTGCATATCCATAATCTTATATTATTTTTAAATTTTTATCATTTCATCGTATCTTTTAGTTCTTCTATTATCTCATAATTTAAATTGTCAAACTCATGAGCTAACTTAATTAATTTGATAAGATTAAATTTTTTCTAATAAATATTGAAAATTTCATTAAATATTAGCAAAAGAAGGTATAATGACTAATAAATGTAAAAGGTCAGTCTTATTTTATCATCCACCATTTTTTCCCCAATACAAATCATCCACCACTTTCAAATATGGAAGTGAGGATTGATTGAAGGCACAAAAATTATTATATGTACACCGATTATGTGTTAGGCCAATCTAACTTGATCCAAATTAATTTTGAAAAAATTATAACGAAATTGTCATTTATTATTTTAAAACTTATTATTACAGGTTGTTCTGTTGTTATAAGAACTTTTTAGCAAATATGTCCCTTACCTGGAGGTTCATAGTAATTCTTCTATTAATCTTAGGTCTAAATTTTCTGTTTAAAGTGAGGTTGGCCCAACATATATTAGGTGTACATGTATTGATTTTTTTTTTATTGATCTCCTCAGACAATGTTTCAAACAAAAATACTTTTAATATGAAGGCATTTAGACATAGCATAAAAAAATAAACCACTTTTATGCTTGAAAGTGGTGGATGATGAAAGGAGACTTACTCTCTGTATTTATTAATCGTCATACCTTGCTTGTTACTATTTAATGTAAATTTTAGTTTTAAAACCAATATGTTGCTCTTTTGCCCAAGGGAAAAAGAATATGAAAGCATGAGACTAATATGAAAAAATGCATCCAAAACTATGACACCTCGAACCATTACAACCGAAAGTTCCTCTTATTTAATAGTTGAAAAAGGTTACGGAAGGGGCATTTCTGGAAGTACATTTGGAAAGGCTGCGAACGGGGCATCTTTGGTCCATGGGTTGCCTTAATGTTGAGGTGTCTTTTTTGCTGACAGCGATGTTGAGGTGTTGAACTTTTAACAAGAGAAAAGCTAATATTTAAAATTTGTAATTTTTTTCAAAGGAAATTAATTAGAAATATTTCATTAAAACAAATAATTATGAGTAAACATTTTCCATTTACTGAGCTGCCTCGTCCTTCATTAGGATATAGTGGGATTTGCTTTAGCGCAGTCTCAATGGAAGACCGTTTAGAATAACTGATAGGAAAAATCAATTTGGAGATCCTTGTAGTTTTATCTCATTTTGAATCAGGTCCTCAAGGATTTTTTTTCTTTTTATTAACTCTCACCGTTATATCCGTTGCTCCTTGTTCTTGAAAACCGTTTAACAGGAATGAATGGGCCGTTGATAGACGTTAGAGAGGACTGAGACTGCAGCTACCCGGAGAGTCTTGCAGGGAGCACCCATGATGAAACCCAACAGTTGATGAACAGGTCCAGTGACTGAGGGCGTGGTTCCTCACAGGTTTTCTTGATCATTCTCAATATGAGTACAACAACTTCTCCCCTGCAAATGCTACACGACAAACAATCAGAAAAGTGCCATTAAAATCCTGTGTCAGAGGAATAAGACATCCCACTAGCTTCGCATTATACCAAATTAGTTTTGAAATTATTTGGTGTGTTCAAATCTAAGCTTGATTTTTGTTTTTGGTCCCGTGTTTTGGGAGTTGGATATTTTGATTATTTTCCTTTTGCTTGTATCCTTTACAATCAACGACGTTTGATGTTTATCATCGTGGGTGCTCCCAACGGGACTCTTCGGCTAGCTGCTTTCCCTCTGATTTTCGGTATTCATGCACCCTTCGAACTCGCGTTAGAGAAGCAGAAGAGAGAAGTATGAGCACAAGAGTCCACATGTCCATCATCGCAGTCCTTTCTAACTTTTGTCAACAATCCGTTCATCCCTGTTAAATGGTTTTCAAGTACAAGGAGCAGCGGATAGGTGCAAACCTCAAAGGAGTTAATAAAAAGAAAAAAAAAATTCTTGTGGACTTGATTCAAAATAAGATAAAATTATAAGGATTTTTAAATTAATTTTTCCTAACTGATAAGCAGTGTTTCAATTGTATTTATAAAATATGAGATAAGTATGTAAGAAAATATGTGGAATGTGTCTATAAATGATTTTAAACGAATATCAAGGTCACTTGAATAAACAAAAAAATCAAAAATAAAAATAGTTTTGATAAAAAAGACAAAAATATATATATTTAGTCTTTTAATTTTATATAAATTTTTACCTTCTCTTAATTTTTTCAAAGTGTCTTTTTAATCTTCTAACCCTAACCTATTACTAATGGTTTTATAACCTAATGACATTCAAAGCTCCTTATAAATAAGAGACTACAAATTTAATCCTACTTATCACATCACTTGTTATTGCCTACCTTTTAAATTACCAAAAAAAAAACCCTTACACCGTTAGTGTCATTGAAAAAAAAAATTTAATTTTAATCATTGATAAAATATTTTAATATTAAATCATCAAATTGAAATTTTATGTAAAATTAGATTATGAAATTTTTGTAAACGGTAGAGATCTTCATTATACAAGTTTGACCATATGTAGCTTTACTTTCTACTCGCTATGATTTTGTGAGTAAATAAGTCAACTGATAGTGACTTGTATCCCAATCAAGAACTTCCTTGTAAGAATTGTTACTCTAAAATGGAAGATTTGAGTAATTGAACAATCAATTTTCAGTCGGCACGCGTTTCCGGTTACAGAAACATCCTTGAATTTTGATGCCATTTGAATTATAATTCCGAATAGACTAAATAAGTCTGCTTATTTTGTTTTACCAATTACATAAAAAAATAAGATCTGTAATAAACATATTCTAAAAAAAGTTAGAGTGACTTCTATTAAAAAGAGAAAAAATAGTAGAAATTTGTTTAAGATAATCTGGCCACATTCAAAAAAGGTTTTTAAAGTCGGTGAGAAAATTTAATCAAATAGTATTGTATCCTCTAAAAAGAGGTAGAGAAATACCAAAAAAAAAAATTAATAAAATTATTGAACTCATCTTTTAATTAATACTACCTCCGGTCCTTAATATAAGGCATTGCCTGACTTTTATTTTGGTCCTAAATATAAGATTCTAATCCACTTTGTCTCTCATATTTATGTATTTTTTTCCAAAGTAGTCCTTCTAACAATAGTAGCTCTAGTCAATATAATTGATTAGCAAGGATATTTTTAAGAAAGACAACACCTATTTATTACAAATAACTAACTTAACTTCTTTCATTCATCTTCTCAAATTAGTCAACTAGTTTTTATAACTAGGACCGGAAGTAGTAATATAACTAAAGATTTGATCGTTAATAAAACTATGAACGCTCTTTTGTTGTTTTTGTTTATCTGTGGGGTTGAATCCCCTGCAATGATTTTTTGGTGCCCTTGTTAAGAAAATGATAAATTTATTATGTAACTGAAAATGTAAAATATCATAAAAATTTTAATTTTATGATTAGCATTGCAGGGGATGTTTTTGCATTTTGGTCTGACATTGCAGGTGATCTTGATATGTTTGAAAATCAAGTAGAAAATCAATT